CCCCTCACACGCACGCGTCATGATACTGTCGTGAACTCCGTCCACAAGTGACGCAGTAGAGACGAAAATGTGGAATAAAGTCGTTATTTTTGTTTAGAGTAATTTACAACAGCATCGAACGCGGCTCAACCAATCAGAATCAAGGACCGGAACTATCCGTTTTGTAAAGTAATTTTTTTTTCATTCTGAAAAAGTAATGGAAACTTATATAGTTTTTCCAACTGCAATGAAAAATCTGGCCATTAAAATATTTCCAATTGGCTTTTATTGCTTTTATGTATAACTTGCATTAGTGCTGTTAGATGCTTTGAGTTGGTTCTTTTGAATGATTCAGTCAAAACGATTGATCTGCATTATTCATTAGCACGGGGTTTTCCAACTTTTACAGACCAGAGACCCCCAGCATAAAAGAAGCTAGGTTTTCTCGATTACACTTTATAAAACTTTCATTCAAAACATTAGCTAATATTACTGTATTATATAATGCTTGAAACACATTAGCTGGCAAATTAGAAATTACTTCTTAGTTAGAAATGTCATGAAAGTTTAATACAATTCCATGGTTTTTATTACTTCTCCACAGACCTCTGGTTGAAATGCTGCCACTGTCTGTCTCTCACGATGTGTCTCTCTACTAGGACGGTCAGTCTAGAACAGTCCGGCAGTTTCAGTTCACGGATTGGCCAGAGCAGGGCGTGCCAAAATCTGGTGAAGGCTTCATTGATTTCATCGGTCAAGTGCACAAAACAAAAGAGCAGTTTGGTCAGGATGGGCCCATCACAGTACACTGCAGGTAGAGAAAGGAATTTACAATGTATTTCAACTTTTTTTCATGTTAAGTGTTCAGTTTAGTAGTCCGTCTTCAGCAAGAGACTGATTTATGAAAGCAGTTGACAAAGGGTTTATTTTGTGATAATTACTGCCTGACTGTATGTTCTACTTCTTATTGCAAAGTTAGCTACCAGCTAAATAAAAAATGAAATATATAGATTTGAATCAAAATGACTTCATTATATGCTTACAGTTCAGGTCATCATTGTAAAAAAAAAAGTCATGATTCATAATGCCACTCAGAGTCAAGTCCTGAAATAAAATGAATTAATTCACAGTATTGTACTTAATGTATCGCTCGATGTACTATTTTCTGTGATGTGTTTGTGCAGCGCTGGCGTTGGGAGGACAGGTGTATTTATCACTCTGAGTATAGTGTTGGAGAGGATGCGTTATGAAGGAGTGGTCGACATCTTCCAGACTGTCAAAATGTTGCGCACTCAAAGACCAGCCATGGTGCAGACGGAGGTAAGCTTGCACACTGCAACCCACATGATGCATGATGCAGTACTCATGTCTTTCTGCTTCTACTACTCTGAGTTCCAGAATTGATTAACACTAGTACAAGTTAACAATTTTTCAAATGCTAAAATATTTCGGAGCTAAACATGCAAAGCCATTTTCGTTTCGTTTAGGTTGATTCTCCATAAAAGTGTGCCAATAATGCTTTCAGCATTGCTCTGTTGAAACACTGGCTCAGACAGCAGCATGTCATGTGTATCTCGTTATTGTGACTTTATATCTCAATTTATTTCTTACAACTGTGGCTTTATTACTCATTATTCTGACTTTATATCTCACAGTTGTGACGAATGATTTTATTTCTTACAGCTGACTTTATCATATTTTTCATTATTTCTCTGTTTCTCGGAGTTTATAGCTCACAATTGGAATTATTTCTCGTTTGTGGTTTTATATCTCCTCATCGACTTTATTTCTTAAAATTATGACTTTATTACTTGTTATTGACAAGTGACTTTATTCTCACAAATCTAGCGTAGCGTTAGTGCTGGCAAAGTTCTTTCAAGCTCGCATCAGCTGACTCTCAGCTGATCTCCATCTACCTATAGGAATACGACACCTATCTAAGCATTCATATATAAGGTCCCTCAGTATTATCAGCAGTTTTCGCATTGCTCAATATCTAATTACCCTTCTCCATCCCCAGCTCCTCCTCTGTCAGTCAGGATATATATGATATATATATATGATACATAATTATAAAAAATATATATCATTTGTGTTTCTCAGTCTTCTTTTGTCTGATATAATGTTTTTATGCTCTGTTTTAAACTATTCAGTGAGAGAAAATCACAAAAAAATTATTTTTCACACAACGATAATTCAACCTTTATGCTGGAATGTGCTAATGTGAGTGCTTGTGACAGTAGCATTTTCTCTTTCTCTCTCTCTCTCTCTCTCTCTCTTTCTCTCACTCTCTCTATCTCTCTCAGTGCTGGTGTGGGCCGAACGGGCTGCTTCATTGTGATTGATGCCATGTTGGAGCGTGTGAAGCAGGAGAAGACGATAGATGTTTATGGTCACGTGACTCTGATGCGATCTCAGCGAAACTACATGGTGCAGACAGAGGAGCAGTACGTCTTTATTTATGATGCACTGCTGGAGGCCGTTTCCTGCGGCAACACAGAGGTTCCGGCACGGAACCTTTACGCCTACATCCAGAGACTGTCACAGACGGAACCGCCGGAGCACATCAGCGGAATGGAGCAGGAGTTTAAAGTGAGTGCATCCCACGAATGTAATTTGTGAATTTAAAAGTAACAATATGACGTACTTTGTTACTTTTTTCAGTAACAAATTAACTGAAACTGTAACAATAATATATCAAAAAAGTGTATTATTTCCTGTTGCTGGTCCAGAAAAAAATTCTTTTTTTCTGGATCCCTTTTTCAGCGGTTAGCTAATGCCAAAGCTCATAACTCCCGATTCGTCAATGCCAGCCTTCCATGCAATAAGTTCAAAAACCGATTGGTCAATATCATGCCATATGAGACCACACGTGTGTGTCTGCAACCAATCAGAGGAGTGGAGGGCTCAGACTATGTCAATGGCAGTTTTGTAGATGGCTACAGGTACATTGCAATCTCTCTTTTTTTATATTTATTAGTAGAAATAAAAGAATGCATCGACAAAACAAGCCACTGAAACATCAACATTTGTAAGTAAGCTGGTGAAATTCTCAGTTTTTGAAGTTTTCATTTCCTTCTCATCACTCTAGGCAACAGAGGGCATATATTGCGACTCAGGGGCCGCTGGCTGAGACAGTTGAAGATTACTGGCGGATGCTTTGGGAACACAATTCTACTATAGTAGTTATGCTTACTAAACTCCGAGAAATGGGAA